AAATATTATTACAACTGTATTCTATTGTAATATATTTTAAAATGTAATTTATTCATGTGACAGCATAGCTGAATTTTCACCAGTCATTACTCCAAACTTCAGTGTCGCATGATCCTTCAGAAATCATTCTGATGATCAATTATCAGTATTTTTGTAGACTCCGTGATACATTTTTTAGGATGCTTTGATGAATATAAAAACATTTATTTGAAATTGAAAACTTTTGTATCATTTTAAATCTTTTTACTGTCACTTGATTAAAAACTAAAAAAAAAAAAAAAAAGAGTATTAATCTCTTAAAAAAAAAAAAACTCCCTGACTCCAAACTTTTGAATGCTAATGTACATGTTAACCATTTCTCAGAGATTTGACCATTTACATTACATTTATATATCCAAAGCAACTTACAAATAAGGACAATAGAAGCACTCAAAACCAACAAAAGAACAGTAACATGTTACTGCTATGACAAGTCCCAGTTAGGCTAATGCAAAAGAATAGCAAAATAATACAGAATGCTGTTAGATCAGTGGTCGCCAACCCGTCGATCGCGATCGACTGGTAGATCTTTATTACTGTCCCAGTAGATCCCGAAAAAAAAACAGTAAAATGAGTACAAAAATGCATTACATTTATGGGGTTATATTAATGTATCACTGAAGGGAACTGTCTTGAGAAAAGTTTCGATGGCAATGGCATTTTCTTCTCCTCCGTATAAAGCGCAACTCTGCTTTGTTTACAGCGGTAACCAAGGAAACGCTATATTGCGGTCGGTTCATAAGCAGTGTTGCCAAGTCTGTGGTTTTCCCGCGGAATTGGGCTACTTTAACACGGTTGCCACGGGTTGTTGTTCATGTCCGCGGGTTGAAGCGACCCCAATAACGTGATATTTAGTCCCTGGAATGTGAATTTGTTATAAAGCAAATAGCCAATAAATAAATTTGCTTAAAAAACAGTATCAGTATCAGAATCCAATTTGCTAGTTAAAAAAAAAAAAAGAAAGAAAGAAAAGAAAATCTGAATTCTGAATCAGCTATGATCGGCGCATCACTAATTAAAATACTAAGTAAAAGGCCTCAAATTTGAAGTACAATCTGGGATGTCTTTTTCTATCAATTCTTCAATAGGTAGATCTTGTCTTTCATAAAGGCAGAGGTCAGGGATCTTGGGCCTAAAAAGGTTGGTGACCACTGTGTTAGAGGGTAAAAAAAACATTTTTAAATAAGAAGAAAACAAGTAGTTAGAATAAAAAAAAAAAGAATAGAGAGTGCAAGTGTTAGAGGGTCAGGTATTTTTAATAAATAAAAAGAAAACAAGTGGATAAAATAGAAATAGAACAGAGAGTGCTAGTGTTGAATGGTCATGTGTAGATGAAAGAGGTGTGATTTTAGCCTTTTCTTGAAGATGGCTAAGGACTCAGCTGCTCAGATTGAGTTGTGCAGGTCATGACTTGCCAAAGTATTTTTTATAGAGATGTATGGTTTTATTGTATGTGTGTAAATATCTTCAGTATGACAAAACGTTTTAATTTCTATAAATTTTCAATGACCTTTATTTCCACGACTTTGCAAATCACAATTTACAAATTTCCCAAAACAAGTTTTTTTCCTTTGAGCATGTTAAGTTCAATATAGGTTTTAAATGAATATGTGACAAGTGACCTTTGAACTTTGAAGAGCAAACTGAGTGTTCAAGTCCTTCTCTTACCAACCTTTTTGGCGTAGAAGACAGCAGGAGCATTTCTCACATCCTCCTCAACAGGGCTCCACTCCAGTGCCGGCTCTCCATCCTGAAAGAGTTTATTTTGTAAATGGTGTTAACAGACAGAATAATTATTTACTAACACATAACCTCATTAATAATATATTAGCACATCAAAGTGCTTAATAATAAAATATGTTAATCCTGATACAGTCTGTTGATCATACCCGCTCAACTATCCGGATGAAGCCGGGGATGGTTGTGTCCTGATTGCTTCTTTTGGCATTGGTGTGGAGGTAAACACCCTCCTTCTCGAAGATCAGCTGATGAATGACATAATATATCACACTTTTTACAACAGCACCAAATGTCAACAAAACTACAGAGGAATCATTTGAAACAAGATGTCAATACATAACGATTATCCTTCAGCATTAAATAGATATAATGAATTTAAATGTTTGTTTTTTCTAAAAACCCAACAATAAAACTAATTGCAGCTTTAATACTATAGTGGACAATTCCTGATATACCACAATAGATTAATAATTCAGCGGCTTACAAATAATGACTTTCAGAAGTTAGATTAGCAACTGATAATCACATGGAGGAAGCGGTAATGACAATCTAGCTGCTAGTTTTCTATAATCTATAACACTTCATTACGTTATGACCAAAGCTCTCCAGTTAACTGGTTTGACCAGTGACACCGTTCAATAAAAACCTCCTTGCTGAAGGAGTTACCCAACGGGTGACAGAGGTATTTGAAACACCAGTCCATCATAGAGACATGACAGTGACTAAACCATCAGGCTTGAACGACATGTCAGTCACCAGCCTGGGCTATCGCTAACTAGCTTCAGCAGCTATGGAAAAACGGTCTTTTCCTGAGACATTAAATACGTAAACAGGTAAAAATGCATGTATAGCTTTGTGTGATGTCATGTCAAATATGACATCGTCAATCTAAACGTAAGGTTACTGACAAACACTATCGCTACTCACCTTGTGACTCTCCGGCTTCGCCTCCATTCCTCCTCCTGTTTGACCAAAACAATCACACTTCCGTTTTTCCTGGATGACACCGCCCACCTCCGCAGCAGCCAATCAGAAACTAATAAAGCATGACGTTGTCTTTATCATGTTATTTTGAAGATGGTGATAATGAGTATGATGTTCTTAGCATATATTTGTTGATTTTTACATAATATAATGACCTGTAATACAAAACAAAATATAAATTCTTTGTTTAAAAAAAAAAAAAGTCCTCCCCGCTGTCACCACAGATTCTGTCATAATTTAATATTTTTATGTCGTTTCAAACCCACAAAGTTAAGATTTTTTTTCTTCTTCAGTGAAGCACAAAAAAAAGAGCCAGAATGACAGTCAGCATTTACTTTCATTGCATGGAATTGCATATGCAATGATGACTGAGGCTGTCGTTCTGAAAGACAATTGGGGTGAGTAAAATTATACCACTTTTTTGTTTATTTATTTAATTTTGCTCTTTAAATTCTCTTACAAAACTGTTTACTATGTAAAAGTACAAATAACTATAACTCTTGGAAGTACAAGAAAACCACCTAGAGAAATGTGACCGTTTTTAGTTTGCACCAAAACATTAGCCTGCTGCACATGAAGTCCAGTGAATCATTATGTATCATTTATTATCAGCTTCCTTCAATGTCACACCTGCTCATATTTGTTCTTTCTGAACGTTAGCCGTGACGGCGGCAAATAAATATCAAATCATTAAATCATTATTTAAAACTACAAAAAGGAGACAATAACGGAACTGGAGATGATGGTACGGAGCCCCTAAAGGGACATGGTGGTGGGAAAAAATTCGGGGTGGGAGGAAATTTTTTTTTGCGTTCCTCGCAAAACGCAAATATCTTTTGCGAGAGAACGCAAAAGTTTTGCGAGAGAACGCAAAAAATCTGACAAATATTTTTTCCTCCCACCCCAAATTTTTTCACTCAATCTGATTTTTTTCCACCACCATGTCCCTTTAGGGGCTCCGTATGATGGCATTCTTTCAATCTGCACAAGGACTTGTACCACGGCGGATCAACATTGTTTGTTGCGGGTAACTACTAATGTATAATGCTATGTAGTATAATAAATGATAAGACACTTGTTCTTTGCTTTGTTTTATTTTATATAAGAAGGTGTAACATTAAAATATATTAAAGTGCACATAAACACACACAAAACTCAAGTACATTTGGAGGGAGGGGTTCTTGCAGACCAATCACAGCGCTTGCGGTCTGCGTAGAATTGACGCGCTGTTAGATTTTTGGAGAGGTGCAGGTCAGGCTACGGCGTATGGGTGTGCGTCTATGCGTAAAGGCTACGGCGTAGGTCCGACGCAGAAGTATAAATCAGCCTTACCTCTGAAAATGTGTACGCGCAAGGTGCGTGCGGCCACAGTAATGTTGCCATGTCCGCTTATTTCGCGTATATTGTTTTTGAGATTTGCCTTTACAGATGAATACGTCTAGTCCTTGAATTCTAGATAGAGGTTTTAGGGGCTGTAATGACTTCAGCTGTTCCAACAGGGCTTGTTCCAAGAATGTACCCACGTTTTTTGGGGATTTCATGTGCTTTTCCAGCCCCATGGTGCGTAAATGTGTTCTCCATTACCAAGTGTGTGTGTGTGTGTGCACAGCTGAGAAATGTATTAATTTATCCGTACTATAATCGAGCAGGTTGGACACATTACATATTTTGTAAGAGTAAGACTATCGCTGTTAGTTGCATTTTAGTATTGGTTAATCCAGAAGTTTTTAATATGGACCCCCAAGGCTGCAAAGGAGTGTTGGGGTCTGTGGAAAAGTTTAGGGAAAAACAGTGTAAAACATTAATCAATAAAAAACAATAAATAAATAAAAAATAGAAATAAGATTAAATAAATAAATTGAATATATCAATAAAAATACAAATTTAAATGTACACTAATGGTACAGTTGTGAGTAGAAAATTTTAAAGTAATGTAAAGAAAATAAATATTTTTCTAATATTTTAAATATTAATTTTTCACAGTATAAATTGGGTCTTTATATGTGAAGTATGGAAAATATATACAGTAGATGCCTTTTATATTTTAGGATGGGGTCCCTCGCACAAGGATGGTCATATTTGGGGACCATGGCATCTAAAACAATAAAAACCCTGGGTAAATCTACGTTTTTTGTGTGTGTGTTTTAATCAACCCACACAAAGAATGCATAAAAAAACAAGTCGCTTATTTAGTGCTTGTTTGTCAGACCATTTGCGTGTTTCATTTGCGCAATCTGGCAACCCTGATCTGCTCCTACTGTAAACAGCGCTTTGCGCGTCGCTGCGCTGGAGTCTAGGGGAGAGACAGGCACGGGTAACAGGCTCCTAACAACGAGGGTTTAATAAAGTTTGGAAGTAAAGGACGATTGTGACAGAGGCGGGAGGATATAACGAGGGTAAGTCAGTCACTTGCCTTTCTTTTCTCGAATCATCCCGATGCTGTTTTAATTGTGCAAAAAGATGAAATAGATTTTAGCTGCATTGCTAACGCTGGAGCGCACTGGCCTGTGTGTTTCACTTGGCCACTCGCTAATGAACTGATCAACAAGCTCTAAAGCAGTTAATGTCGTAATGCAAATACCACGCTGTTTAGCCGCTGATTTTGCCAACTACATATTAAAGCTGACAGTGACAAACAAACAAACAAAAGCAGCAGAAATCATGGCTGGTTGTTCTTCGTGTTGCCCCGAAAATGCGAGAAACGGACAGATCCGCTGCATGCAACTGCACAACAGGCCTCGAAAATGATTTTTACCGTTTGACAAAGCCTGGCCCTCATTTAAACGAGAACGTCCCAAACAAACGTGTACGTGTGCTACACGTGCGGGGGAATGGAGGCGTAACTTACCCTTCAAAGTGAGTGGGGGGTTTGTTGCACAGCAGTTGATGAGCTTGTTGATTACTCAAACTAGTTTTTAAGCTGTTCTACAGTTCCAAATGTGACCCTGGACTACAAAACCAGTCATGATGTCAATTTTTATAAAAAAAATACAAAAAGCTGAATAAATAAGCTTTCCATTGATGTATGGTTTGTTAGGATAGGACAATATTTGGTCGAGATACAACTATTTGAAAATCTGGAATCTGCGGGTGCAAAAAAATCTAAATATTGAGAAAATTGCCTTTAAAGTTGTCCAAATTAAGTTCTTAGCAATGCATATTATTACTCTAAAATTAAGTTTTGATATATTTACAGTAGGAAATTTACAAAATATCTTCATGGAACATGATCTTTACTTAATTTACTAATGATTTTTGGCATAATTTTGACCCATACAGTGTATTGTTGGCTATTGCTACAAATGCTACTTATGACTGGTTTTGTGGTCCAGGGTCACAAATCAAAATGCTTGTTCATTTTGCCTAAATAAGCTCGATAGTGTGCTCTTGATATATATTTATGCATATTATGTTTTCTTTTCTAGGTAACATCAGCAAGTGGTGGCATCCTCCCATCTCTCCCCTAGTTCTCTCCTGCACACAGACACCGTCACCCATTTCAATTGTGCCTCTTCTAACAGTACCATCAGCATGAACTAAACCAAGTTCTCATTACCAAAGAGTGCTAACCACAAAACGCATTTCATAAACACAGACAGACACATACACACACACACACACACACACACACACACACACACACACACACCAGCATTTCAACATTCCAAAAGAACAAATTCCGAAAACAGTTCAACAGAGCCATAGGTTGTTGCATAAACACATCATGGCCTCTGTCACCAAATCCTCTAACCCCGAGATCCCCGATAATCACAAGGAGAGCTGGCTGGTGCTGCTTGCTGCCGCTGAGGCTTACAGTCAGACGTCTGGTTGTGATTTGGCCATTCTGACCACCTATAAGAAGTTCCGTCCTTCCGGGGTCGAGGTGGAAGGAACGAGGAATCACGAAGGGGGTGGAACTCGGGTGCAGCAGTTTGATTATGCATATCATGTTTGGGGACCGGGGGCCCTAGCGGAGTCGTCACTGCGATACATGGATGACATCGCAGTTCTGCACTCCACCACTGTACTGACGGCTCAGAGACACACGCGTCTGAATGCAGAGCAAGGAGGAGCCAAACTGGGCATGGTTGTGCCATCTGACAGGCTGGTGAGTGCTGTTTTTTTTTATTTTTAAGCATTTTTGAGTGCAACGCCTTGTGATTTACTGTGTCCTCTTTCTAAAGAGCTTGACTGGAGATCGAGTCGGGACTGTTAGTCCCAACATGAGGCTCTATTCTCAGAGCTACCCGTCGATCTACAGCTCGGCCGCTGCTATTGGCCAACCAGGCAGTCAGCATGGGAACGGAGAGTGTGACCGGGAGAAAGCGGTGATGGAGGAATGTGAGAAGGCAAGAGAAAGAACGGAAATTGTGGACTTGGAGGAAGAGGAAGAGGAGGAGGAAGAGGAAGAGGATTTGGATGGGAGGAGACGTAACTTGAATGAATCGGCAGGTAAATGCACCTATTTTTTGGTTTTCAGATAAGAAGGGGTTTGTCATTGCAGATCTCAAATTCAAACTGAATGGATCTGTCTTTCTTTCTCAGGTGTCTTTTCAATGGATGAGGATTCTCTGTCCCGGGACTGCGAGCCCTTCTTCGAGTCTGACGGGGAGGAGGAGAGCACTGATGGTGAATTATTGTTATTTTTTTTTTATTGATATATTTTAAATAGGGCTGTCAGTTTAATGCAGGGGTGTCCAAACTTTTCCTAAAGGGGGCCAGATGTGGAAACACTGTGGGGCCGGATGCTTCTACATACATACATATATATATATATATATATATATGTGTGATATATTTTGTTTTTAAAGCTTTAATAATTATAACATAGAATGGCTTTATGGTATTTAATCTATTAACAACACATGAAAGCACAAACTACATAAAAAATGTCTGTAATTTGGCCTATATTTTATAACTCCCTTACATTACATTAAAGTGGCCTATATGTCTACATTAATGATATAAGAGTCTGTATAAATATGCAACATTTCTGCCACAATACCACAGTTACGGTTACTACAGTAAATCAAAATGTTGGTGATTTGTGGATTGAAAAGTATTCTTACTGCATTGTTGTCGCACAATGTTTTTCCTATTTTCCGTGTTAGTGTTGTTGAGAATGTCAGCGCTGTTTCAGAAGACAGCTGCGGGCCGCTTAAAATTCATCCACGGGCCGCATTTTGCCCGCGGGCCGTAGTTTGGACACCCCTGGTTTAATGTGTTAACTTAATTAATTAGTTATGAAAAAATAACGCGATTAAAATATTTTGACGCAGTTAAGGCACTGGCCCCGCCCCCAGACCTGTACATCATCTTACGTTTCATACAGCTGAATATTGACAAATATGATGCAGCGCAACAACTCCATAAACGCAATTAGGCCTCAAAATTCAAGATTATACAAATTCAAGGCAAAAATGCTCCTGTATGAGTTTTTGTCTCATATTTATATCACATGATAAGAGATATCACATGAGCAGCAAGAGCAGTATCACACGAGTGCTGTTTTTGTCCCGAATATCACGAGTGCAAATGTGATTTTTATACAACAGTTCAGTAAATAAGATGTTAATATTGTGTTATATTTTAAACACTATTGTCTGTTTTTGCTCAGTTTTGCCAACAAAAATATTGCCTATAAAGCCACAGCAGAACTGTTGTGTGTCTCCGAGCAACACAGCGGTATTTAGTTTCTGAATGAATCTGCGTTTTGAACGAATCTTGTGATTCAAAGCCCTATTCATAAAGAGAGAGAGCCGTTTACTTAATTCCTGAATGAATCAGCCGTTTGAATCGAATGAATGACTCATAAAGACATTTACTGCCACCTGCTGGCATTTTTAATTTCTTATTTAGAGTATTATTTCATTAAAAAAAAAAAAGGGAAAAAATGCAACAAAAAAAAAAAAAATATTTTAAGGAATAGTTCACCCAAAAAATGTTAATTATGTAATTTACTCAAACCTGAATGACTTAGGCTACTTTCTTTTGTGGAGCATAAATTATTAAAATTCTGGTAAATGCCAAAAATTACTTAAATGTTATTGCCTATTTTTTCACATTTAGGCATCACAGCATTATAATGTGCAGCATGAAAAATAGATAACACGTGTTATTTATAGATAACATATTATTCAAGTGATATATATAATTTTAAGTGGCTGTTAGATGATGTTGAATTGTAAAAAAAAACATGGGGAAATTAGCATTTATAAAAATCCAATTTCAGCTGATACAGTTCACCACTGTTCAAAATACTTTAATTTGGCAAAGACACATTATATGGAATCAAAAGTGACAGTAAAAAACATTTGAAATGTTACAAAAGATTTCTGTTTCAAATAAATGTTGTAATTTTGAACCTTTTGAACCTTAATTTTGAAAAAATAAAGTATCACGGTTTTTAAAATGTTAGGCAGCACAGCTGTTTTTGATTGATAATGATAAGAAATGTTTCTTGAGCAGCAAATCATATTATAATGATTTTTGAAGGATCATGTGACACTGAAGACTACAGTAATAACTGCTGAAAAATCAGCTTTGCATCACAGAAATAAATTACAGTTAAAATATATATTAAAATATAGGTATTTTGAATGGTTATAACACGTAACTAGTATTGTTTTACTGTATTTTTGATCAAATAAATGCAGCGTTGGTGAGCATAAGATACTATTTTCAAAAACATTTTAAAAATCTTTCTGACTCCTAACCAGCTGATAACCGATATGGTACCAATATAATATGCATTCCTATTTTTTAAAATCCTTATTCAGCAATTCAGTTTCAAACACAGTGACTGTTCAAAGAGATTATTATCTGAATTATGACACCGTAGCATCAGTGTGTTTTTATTGCTGTCGTTCATGTATTTATATCTGTTTTATTGCGGCCAGGCTCTCTGAGTGAGGAAGCACCTCCCCCTCCGCGTGGCTTGGCCATGGGTCACCTGGTGTCTCGCTCTTCTAACCCCATGGCAATGGCTTGTTCACTGCCCGTGTCTATACCAGTGTGGGGCTACAGGAACAACCATGCCCGTCAGGGCGACTCCCACAGTGGAGAACGGGTCAGTTACTCATCCGCTTCATGCATGCCCTCATCCACATACCCCCCTACAACAGCTTCATTCAAATTCTTTTTTTTTTTGCAGATTATGTATGCACTTTTAATACAAAGGATGTGTAAAATTGTAGATGGCAAAATTATGCCACCTACTAGATTACGCATTTGGACCAAAATTGTATTTATCATTCATTGATGAGACAATTTCATAATTAATGTGTCGCGACACCATTTTTGAACAGTTTCATACGAAATGGAGGAAAGGGCCAAAGGAAATACAGATTGTCAATATAAATACATACTTTTTAAAAAGTTTTGGATTGGCAAGTTTTTTTTTATTTTATTTATTTTATTTTTTTTATAATGTTTTTGAAAGAAATCTCTCATGTTTTTCAAGGCTGCATTTAAAAAATAAAAAATATAGTAAAAACAGTAATATTGTGAAATATTATTACAATTATTAAAATAACTGTTTGTGAAATGTTTTTAAAACAGTTGTACTTACTCAGTTTGTGATGTTGTATACTGTAGTATAAGATTTATAAAAGGTTCATGATGATTAAAAATGCTCCAAAGTAAAGAAATATATTGAGTGCTAGATATTTTTGTGATAATATTTCAATGTATTGTGATAATTTTACCTCAAAAGACTGAGCCACAACCAGTAATTTCCACTGGAAAATGACTCTAAAACTATACTGTTTCTTTTTGGAAAATCTATACTCTAAACATAAATAGCTGCAATATTATCGTACTGCATTATTGACACAGTTATCGATACAAGATTTTGTTGCCAAGTCTTTTCTGATTAACACCCTCACTACCATTGTGACAAAATCCACTTACATATAATGAGTTTTTGTAGAATAAAGCAATAAGCCCTGTGAAGCCGTAGTTTACAGTCTTTTCTGATTAACACCCTCACTACCATTGTGACAAAATCCACTTACATATAATGAGTTTTTGTAGAATAAAGCAATAAGCCCTGTGAAGCCGTGGTTTACAGTGAATTTATAACAGCTAAGGGGGTTTTAGGCACTCCGCTTCGCGTCGACAACAACGCCCCTTAGCTGTTATAAATTCACTGTAAACCACGGCTTCACGGGGCTTATTGCTTTTATAAAACGGTTATTTCATATACGTAGTACGGTTTCCAAAATAAAACAGAGCAAATAACGTGTAATGATATTAATAAAAACAGTATTCTTCCACCAAACAATGTAGTTCCTCAGAATCAGTTGTGGTTGCAACAAAGTTGCAACTCGCAAATGTAAACAAAGGTGTATGTTTGTAGAGTAATTTACAACAGTTTCGAACATGGCTCAGCCAATCAGAATCAAGGACCGGAACTATCCGTTTTATACGAAAAATTGAAGAATAGCAATTAATTACTGTTTTGTCGCATTTAATCACTTTTACACTTGTTTTCAGCTTGATTAAAATGTCTCTTTTATTTTAGGTGGGCTGTACAGACCTGGACCACATAGCTGCCAGTATGAAAGCCCTGCTGGTCCCTGGAGCCACAGACGGAACGGAGATGTTTGGAGCACTGCCACGACCTCGCCTAAACACGGGCGACTTCTCTCTCAAGCATTGAGAGAGGACGAATGTGTGCGTATGTATGTTTGAGCGTGCATGAGAACGAGAGGGTGGGCGAACCGTGAGCTTGTGTGTGTGTGTGTGTGCGAAAGTGATTTGAACAGAACTGGAGAGTTTGATGGATGTTTTTAGCGAAGACATTGCCAAAACTGAAGCTTCTCCCACATATCATTAGTATTTCTATGGCACTGAAAGTGGCGAAACCTTTACCAGCCCTTCACGTCCGCAGCAGAAGGAGGAGAGAGTTGATTCGCATGTCTTAATTTGAGAATTTCTTTTGGCTTTGACCGAATGGTTGTGGCAGACTTTAGTTACGTAGTGCATTTCATTGAGTAACACTAACAGAGCAAACGTACATCATTACGTTACTAATCATACCCAGTGACCGTCCTCTGCAGTGTGGGATTTACTGATAGTATATGAGCCTATTTACATGCTGAGATACTCACACATCCATCACTGGAGGAGCATTGTACATTAGTAGACACTACATGTACTTGGATATATAGACTGCTGTGTTCAGATGTGAATTCAGTAGTGTATATTCCATGGCAATTGACAAAGCTGACTAGATGTTAATGTGAATGCTTGCAAATGTCACTCTCTGCCTGTGTGCACTCACTTTTATTTCAGATACTGTCCTGAAGACTTTCTAAATCAATGCTTTGTAAAGCAATGAATACAGTGAAAGGACAAAACGTTTCGGAAACACGAATGTGTGGGACTTTTCACCCACAAATGACAAGTGCTTCTGCATTATAACGAATTAATGTGCTGATAACTGATACAAATGCAGAAATACGAATTGTTGATTAGTATGGTAACTCAAAACTCGAAAATCTTGAAAATCAAATATGAGGGTTTACAACACTACAGATGTCAACCAGCTATGTGTTCATCATCTTAAACATTTCACAACTGTTCAATGTTTAAGTAAATGCGTTCTGAATAAACAAGTTGTTTGTTGTCGAATTCTGTTGCCCTTTGTGTCTTATTTGCATTTAAAAGTTCAGCGGCTTTATCTTGGTGTGATTGAGCAGGCTGAAGGAAATGTGTGCAACTCTCTGAGGAAAGTCGATGCTTCCTGTGCTCAGCAGAGGGCGGTGTTGTTTTTCTGTAGTTTTTTACTCCAAGCAATCCTTTAGCGTTCCTTTATGCATTTAGCAGGCTTTTATTCAAAGCAGTTAGGCCTATACAACAAAACGATTAATCTTACGTTTATTCTCATTCCCACTTTTGATTTCATGTCCATTCATCTCATTCAGGTTTGTATTAGCCAAGCCATGAATGCAAAAAATTATGTTTTTATACAGTCTCAGTGTCAAACATTTCACTATTAATAAAAAAGGACTTCATTTAGAATTTTTGATTAAATTAGTATATTTTGTATACTTTTATATACAGTGTTTTAAGAATAATAATTACATTTATTAATAAATAAAAACTTTATTTGCGGCACCTCAGAGTAAAATCTGTACAAATGCTTTCAAAAGCCCTCAGAGAATTGTTCAATGGTGTAACATTTTGCAAAAAAGTACTTTTGAACGTCTGTCAGTAGAGAAAAGCTTTGTGAACTGGGTCACACTAACCAGATAAACACTGACCCCTTGATTATCCCCCAAGACCTTTACTTGCTTTTAAAGACACGTCAGCAGTAAAAACACAACACACCACTCGTATATCGCACATCATTATTATTTTGAACTAGTTTATTAGACTACAGCGATAAATATTTCCTACAGTATCTGTATTTGCCATCACATGGAATATAAAATGAATACAGTGACTATTCAAAATAGTATAAAGATTAATGCTACACCAATTCAGTTGCTGGTTAAAATACTAAAACACTACATTTTGCAGCAACCTAGTGGTTACTTACAAGCAGATTCAGGTTTAGAATGCAAGTTTTAGTATCATTTATGTTGATTTGGATCTTACTCCCTACCAATGACTCCTTCTCAAACTTTCCTCTACTCTTTCTTACATAACCCTTACCCTGTTTCCTCCCAACCCCTCCGTCTCTTCATGTATTCACCCCCTACTGATCCTGCTTTCGGATCCAGCAGTAGGAGTTCCTGCCCACCCAGAAACCAGGGAAGAGCTTCTCCTTGAAACTGGCTGCAAACCGATGAATCAGTCTGACCTCCTTTGAGCCGTTCTCTCCATCTTCGACCAGGAAAAACTTAATGATGCCAGCTGGCTGGTCAGCGTAGATGCCGATGGTGGGACAGAGGGGAGCCTGGAATTCGATGTTCTCTCCGTTGTGCCAGACGTGGTAGCAGGATCCGGCCCAGCCCACACCCCATGACAGGTCGTTCTCTCCCAGCCCACATTGGCCATCCTTAGCTTTCCGCCCTGCGCTTTCACACGCCGCCCCAATCACCACCCAGCCCTCGCAGTCCACCTCCCAGTACCCACGACTGCCCAGAAGACCCTCCTTACACAGCACCTTCAGGAGGATATCGTCAAAGTTATCCTTGCAGCAGTTGCATGGTTACCACATGTTGACCATAACAATCTTACGCATTACATTCTGTCATTTACTCACCCTCATGTCATTTCAAACCTGCATAGCTGTCCTCATGCTGAGTTGAACTTGTGGGTGAATTAATCATTCAGACTGGTTTTGTGAACCATATCAGCGGATTCATTGAAATATTAGACTAATGATTTTTTCATGAAGCAATACAATCACATACATAGAACTATGAAAGCCCATTTCCGCCACATACAAATCTCATGCTGAAAAATATGAGATAAGCATAATTATGACAAAAATGTGAGATGTGTATGTTATGACACAAAAGGTTGAAATTATGAGATAGAAAGTCATAATTATGACATAAAAATAACAAATTATCATTTAAAAAACATCACAAAAAGTTGAAATTGTGAGGCTAAGTTATAATTATGAGATAGAAAGCAAAAGTTATGAGACAAATGTCATTGTGACAACAATGAAACAATGAAATACTAAATAATAATCATGATATCCAAATTGACATTAGATTTTTTGTCATAATTACGACTTTTAGTCTTATTATTCTAATTTAGAATAACTCAGATTCTTTTTCTCAATCATGACCTAGTATTTCATAATTTCAATTCATGTCATAATTATGGCGTTCATGCTTTTTTAATCTGTGCTTATGTGTGAATAAATGCCTAAATCAAATCTTTCCATCATATAAAACAATCATGTCTCTTGAGAAGACTTGGATTCACTCATATAGATTTATATAGACTATTTTAATGATGTCTCTATGCAGTTTGTGAAGCTTGAAAATGTTAATTACTATAAAACTGATGTAAAAACTTTCAATCAAAGAACAAAAATATGAGAATTAAAAAAATAATAATTTTTTCTTCTAAAGAATAAAAATATTTGGAAAGACATGAGGATGAGTAAATGATGACATTTTTGCAATTTTTTTGCATGACTACGCCTTTAAACCATAAATAAGAAGATAATACTAAATGGAAGAATCACATGACCTGTTCAAAAATGGGTTTTATAAATCACACAAGAAGTAGAGACAGATTCAGAGACTCACTTACATACCTGTGGTGAATGTTCATATCTCTCTGGCCTGTCTAGAACAGGACACACTTCCTCTGACATACGTGACACTTTGGCTCCACCTTCTGAGAGCCACAACATTTTCTGAGCAGTTCTGTCATCCAGAGAGAGATTTATCCAGTCTGAGAGAGAAATAACATTTCAGAGGTCAAGGGCATATTAAATTATAATATAGAACTATATGTGACCCTGGAGCACAAAAGCAGTCTTAAGTCGCTGGGGTATATTTGTAGCAATAGCCAATTAAAGGCAATTTTCTCAGTATTTTGATTTTTTTGCACCCTCCGATTCCAGATTTTCAAATAGTTGTATCTCGACTAGGGCTGGACGATATGGCCAAAATGTATATCACTATATATTTCTTAATTTCGGTCGATACAAACGCCACAAATAAATCAATGTATGGGAAACTGGTAATGTATATCGAAATATCGGAAATGTGTTTAAAAATCATATCACCGTTATTGAAAAAAATTATATCGCGATACATATTGATATTGAATTATTGTCCAGCCCTAATCTCGACCAAATATTGTCCTAACCTAACAAACCATACATCAATGGAAAGCTGATTTATTCAGCTGATGATGCATAAATCTCAATTTCGAAAAATTGACCCTTATGACTGGTTTTGTGGTCCAGGGTCACATATAAAAAGCATAAAACCAAGACAATTCCTGTAATGTTCCTGCGCACATTTCATCAGCTCAGCTCTAGTATTGGGTTCAGTGATGTTGGGGTCATATGGTGGCGCCTTTTCTGTGATGGAAGGAAGAAGAAAGAGCAAGAGGTCATTATATTCTATACCATGACTGCATAATCCTATTTAAATGTCAGCTATCTAATGGAGGCCCAAGCTCCATGTGACTTCCATTGTATTATGATCCTCTCCCATTAACACTATTAAGACAGTGAGGCATAAAGACAGCTGCACTCACCTTGAAAAAGCCATGGTAATGATCACACATGCAAACCATACTGTCAGATTTACATGCTATTTTGATTTGAATATAAGTGTCTGTTCTATTATAAGACCAGTATGTTCTCCAAACCTTAAATGACTTGTTGATAATGATCTGAGGCGGTTTTAGTGGGCATTAAACATGGTGAAATTAAAGGTAGCTACACCTCTGTATCCGTGATCATCAGGACACCTGCAGTGTTTACCGAGCTTTAATGAATGATCACGTGACAAGTTTTAAAACAAATAGTTCAATTCACAGATAAAATATGCACAAAATCTGAAAACTGTTACCTCATTCTTAATAAATTAATATTTTGGAATAAATGTAAAATGCTAAACATTACATTTATACTTGGTTTGAATAAATATAACTTAAAAACATGGTTAATGCAAGCATGAAAATATTATTGTAATGGTTGTTTTTAATAGTGAAATAAATGTTTTTATTATTATTATTTATTTATGTAAATCCCTGTTCCAGCTGACACATTTTCAGCATAAAAAATTACATTTGAGAAAACAACAACTAATGGACCTTTTTCACAAGACTGTGATGACGCGTTTAACGGTCATCAGCATCGTAAATCCTCGAAAGTTTTTCATATTTGTATTTTTTTTAAATGTATGTACATTTATAACACTATTCTTTGTATTGTATCACCTTTGCATCAAATTACAAAAAAACAGTTAACGCTAATGCAAGGGTGTTTCTAATGCAGCGTCTATGGGAGGGATGATAAATTTGACATCGTTCTCTCTTCTGACTGCCGTAATCAGTCTCTCTCAATTGTTTTCTTTTTATTGAAAGTCATAAAAACACTATCGTGGAGTTTTTCTTTTGCTATCTGAGCAAATGGGAATGCAAAAAATATATTTGTAGTACTCCCCCATTCACTGCTCTTCAAGTTAACCCAACTATGACGACTTCCGCTGCTGAGAAACCCGCAAATGTGAAAAAGGTCCATACAATTATACTTTTCAGTTTTACATTAACAATGTAATTATTGTTCTGTTTATTAAACAGCTTTTTTTATTAAGTTAGTGCTTTTTAAGCATTTTTACATTACTTTTCCACGACATTCTAATTTATTGAGATGCACCTGTACAAATGCAGCAATAAATTTCATATTTCACATGCATTTATCCTTTTTTTATATCATCTTATTTTTGGATCTTCAGTCATCAGTATTTGGTAAACACTGCAGGTGTCATGATGGTCACAGACACGGAGTTGTAACTTGAATTCACCAAACTGACTGATAACAAAAAATCCTCACCGATTATGTTTTCAAGTCATTTCAAATTTGAATGTTACGTGACCTAAAGCAGTGATATCAAAGTGGGATAGTTATGTAATCAGTCTTCCCATTAACACCATTATTTATTCAGACCAATTTGTGGATGCTGGTTGCACACAATAATATCGCGTGAGCAATGCAATAGGCCAATCATACCGCAATGGAGGCACTGCCTCCTCTTAGCGAATTTTCCCCATTCATTCTCTATCAGCCACGGTATGCTCAGTGGGCTCAGGGGAGGCAAAAAAGACGCTTACTGCTGATGTAACTGTCCCTGTTGGACAGTGTCACTTTAAAAAAAAATAATAATAAGCAGGTTTGCATGTTTCTGGAGGGTGGGGTTTTGGAGAGCAGCTGTAGCAAAAGGGGATGCTCTGGTTAAGACAGTGAAAACATGATTGCATAGTTTACAGTTACCTGCAGGATTTGCTTCTGCTCTTGATCCTTTTCTTCCTGTAGGGGTGAAAATGTACATCAATTAAAATCAGAGGTTACCATCAAACCATTTTAAGTGAAAGCACAGGCGGTTTAGAAATGATACTGACGCTGCACAATCATTCTAGAGTCTTCCCTTTCCTTACATTGCTTTTCTGATCCTCCTTCCTTACCTCTCGTGCGCAATATATCACCCCGTGGTATGCCATTCATCTACCCCCACTGTTGTTAGCACTGAATCATATAGTTTACCCATGCCTGTCAGGGTTTAGGTTACATCTAAGAAGCATGCTAGGCCTAAACTTATATTCACCATAGACACACATCAAAGGCTCTGACAGCAGTTTCCAAGAATACATTTTTGTTTCTGCCGCACTTCATTTCCACGGTGCTAGTGGTGTTGGCATGTTTATGTCCAGCACTGGGATGCAGGCTTAACACTTTTCTCGTTACTGTTGATTTTCTCAAGCACCTTCTGAGAAAGCCATCTGCAATCCTCTGGCTCATGTATTACAGCTCACACATTTTTTTTTTGCCTTCTTTTGTTAATGTGGACAGTAATATTAGCTGCTCCCTTGGGTTATCATAATTATCAGTGGCATTAAGTGCATTGGTGCAATTTTTGTCAGTTTAAGTGTGAATTGTATGTGAATTGCAGCAGCAGATTAGTGGCTAAGAGGGAAAAGGTCACTGTAACAATGAAACACAACTATCCACATAATATCCTGCAAACAGAGTGTGGTAGTGGCTAAATATCAGGGCTGAAACGGAAAGGTTGCTGGTTTGAGTCCTGCAAGAAGCATTCCTCAATAAAGACGATGTTTTGTATTGTTTTTCAGTTAAATATCTAGAAATAAAAAAAAGATAATTTACAAGACAAGTAACACTGCATAATATGTTTTCAGGGAATATATATATATATATATATATATATATATATATTTAAATGTATCTTTACTACAAAAATAGATTTTATGTTGAAATATTTGGATAAAATACAAGTCTATTTTGTTTAATTGCAGTGACATACTTTTTTAAATTTGAGAAAGTCTATACACTTGTATTTTTGCCTTAAATCTTGGTATCTTATCCAGTGTTGCTTCTCAAATAAATCTTATTTTAAAGTATATTTTTAAGGCATGTTTTAGCTATTTTATTTTCAATATTTTATTTCAGTATTTTTAAATATTTTTTGTTTAATTTTTTAGATATTTTAAATGTAATTAAAAGTCTTTTTTTTTCAGTGTAAGGTTCTTTTGTCAGCTGATTGGGAAAAAAAGTCTGAAATTTACTCCATGAAGAATTTTGTCTCACATTTCAGTGATATCAGATACCATCAGCAAAAAAAAAAAAGTCATGCTGTCAGTAATTCCTCAGTCACGTTTAAGCGAGCCTGCGATGATGGTAAAAGCGGTTTGGACTTGAGACTCTCTTTCGATTGGCTGCGCGGTTCGGGCGGTGGGAGGGGACAGGGGTGACTGACATCACTATAATGGGTCACTTCTAAGTGATCGGGTCAGCTGTGTTTCTGCACATATAGGACGGGGACTTCTGTACACCTGTTCAAGAACCCCAGCGCTGTTTGTGATCTTGCTGACAATCACTGAGAACATCATCATCCCTATAATCTTTTATTTAATGTGTTATACACTGTCACAAACTGTGGCACAAACTGTCACTGCAGCGATACCCTTTCAAAAGGTACTAATATGTACACTTTGGGTACTATGTACTTTTGAACCACTAATATGTACCATTTAGGGTAAACTAAGGTATAACGATGTAACTTCTAGCCTTTGTACCTCAGGATACCAACTCAGTGACAATTTTGTACCTTTTTTTTCTGAGAGAAACACATGCTCTCCGCACATTACGACAGGGAAACCCTTATAGGCCATCAAGAAATTATGAGATACAAGCTCATCCAAATGGAAAATAATGAAAAAAAAAAAGTAAATGTCGCAGTCATTAATCTTTCTGCAGTGAAACCTTAGATATAATCCTGGTGCACATATAAACTCCATCAGATGCTTGGGACTTAAAGAGGGAGTTATAGAGGAATGGATGGTACAGAGCGAAGGGAACTGAAGTGGTAAAGAAATCAGGGCTAGAGATTAGCAACTGCTGCTGACAGGTCACTCCATCAGTCATAGCCTGTTTCACCCTCTCTTCGGGACCTCTCCCTTATAGGGGCTGGTATGGAGGGAGTCAGGAAGAACAGGAGGGAGGGGTCGAACATAACAGCCATGGTCATGAAGCAGAGCTCCAAAATAAAACAAATCAGAAAGATCTAAAAATGTCGGATGTGGAGTCTGTGTTCACGCAATCTGAAGCCATGCTGACAGCTCTTCAAGTCAAGGTTTTCTCCCTGGTGTGAGATTCAACCCTGGTGGTGACTTGGTGGAGAATGAGCATGACTGGAAGAATGCTGTAAACAAGAGGTACACGGAGGGGGTCCGGGTGAAAGCCTTGTTTCAAAATCCCCAATGTCCAATAAGGGATCATTCACAAAGCCTCGTTCACGCACATCTTTCACCAGACCAACACATAATGGTGAAAGACTGAGGGCGGATTCAGAAGACATGAGAAGGTGATGAGTACTGCAAATAATAAAAACAGTTTATTTATTGACATCTTTGTCTTGTTTTCCATAAAACAAAACACATTCTGAACACACTCTAAAAATCAGTAGAAAAACAAAAGAGCTACTGGTAATTTTTTTGTCAGGACATTATCTATAAAATTTACAGACATTTTCTTTAATCCTAAAACACAACACAATGCAAGACGTAATAAAAAATAAATAAATAGGGAAAAACCTATGAAAAATAAATATGTAAAATTCTTTTACATTAACAGACCTTTCTTGAGCCTACACTTTTAAAACAAAAATAAATTCATTTTTAATTTTTAAATATATTACATTTATTAAACAACTGTGTAAAATATTAGGGTATTTTTCTTTTTTGAGCATAAATGTAACAACATTTTGTGAGGTTTATGCTTACAAATAATTTAATTAGTATGAAAATAAGTAGCTTTCACATTTTTATGTATATAATTCTCTAAAGATTTATATTCTCTAAAAAAAGTTGTATTTTCTTGCAAAAAATATGCTTCTTAAGTAAATTAATTTTAAGAATATATTTTTAATGGAAACTAAGACAAAAATACTTATTAAAAACATTTTTGCAGTGAGTTGACAGAATTTGTTTTTAATTGTATATATAATTGTGATTATGGGCTGAAGTGAATCAAGTGTTTGAAAAGGTCAGATCATTCACCCAAGTGGAAACCGTGAGCATGGCATTGTGGGAAATCCATGTTATATTTTGTTTCTACATTATAATTTATAACCTAAACATTAACCCCCAGTTTCACAGTCAAGGCTTAAACCTAGTCCCAGACTAAAATGTAAGTCTGAGCTGTTTCAACTAAAATAAACTTGCACTGACTGATCTTAAAATATACTAGTGCCTTTGTTTTGTCTCAAGATGCACACCAGTAATGTGTTTTCTAAGGCACATTTATAAAAAATACTTCAATGTCCTAATTGAACTATGGCCTAATCCTGGCTTAGTCTAAGCCCCGTCTGTGAAACCAGGCATAAATATTGTCAACTGAACCACATTGTTATCTTTTCAATAAAAGTGGCATCTACACTTCATTACCCCACATCAAGGCAGCAGCATGTCATCATTGATAAGTTAATAAGAAACCAGTAGGGGCCTCTTTTCATCTTTTAATGAGGTGCAAGAGGGTCCTAACAAGGAGAAAAAATATATATTAGGGCTGGGTTTTGACACAAATTTCACGATTCGATTCTATTCTCATTCACAAGCTTGCGATTCGATTCGATCTGGTACACATGCTAAATTTTCCCAAGGAAAAAAATCTCTTAACTAATGCTGTAAAATATACATGAGAGTCAGTTGGTACTACATCACTATAATATTGAAGGTTAAAACTGACTGATTTTTTAGGCTATACAACTGCTTACATTTTTATAATAAAAGTTACAATTACATAATAATATTTCTACTTCAATTCGTTTTTTAAATATAAACACTTAAATGGTGGCTGTCATAAAAAATAAATAAATTAAACAATGAAGAAAAGTAAAAGTTATAATGAATATATTAAATGGTGCATATATTTAGCAAAATGCTCCTCTCTACAGTTTATTTTTCTATCTGACTAATGAGTTTATGGTCACCGAATATGTTTTTCTGAGGTAAATGCGACGTTACATGGCATTGTTTACAAGCCGTTATATTGACGTCCTTGCGCGGCTGAAACACTGATTGAGCGATTACAGCGACCACTCCACATTAACAGCGCCACAATGGCATTTATTGTTTGATTACTGCAATACAATGAACATAGTTTGAAATCTGAGACTTTGTTTCATATTAAAAGTACCAAAGCACAATGCTTACTGCGATTTATTGGATGGGAAGTGCCCTTCAATATGCCACCCATTAACTGAAAACAGGCTAGAATAATCGATTCTTGGGATTTAAGAATCGATATCGTTTCGTAAAAATGAGAATCGATCACAATCGAGATATCGATCTTTTTTTTTACCCAGCCCTAACATATTATATTATATTATATTATATTATATTATATTATATTAATTTACAGACATTTTCTTTAATCCTAAAACACAACACAATGCAAGACGTAATAAAAAATAAATAAATAGGGAAAAACCTATGAAAAATAAATATGTAAAATTCTTTTACATTAACAGACCTTTCTTGAGCCTACACTTTTAAAACAAAAATAAATTCATTTTTAATTTTTAAATATATTACATTTATTAAACAACTGTGTAAAATATTAGGGTATTTTTCTTTTTTGAGCATAAATGTAACAACATTTTGTGAGGTTTATGCTTACAAATAATTTAATTAGTATGAAAATAAGTAGCTTTCACATTTTTATGTATATAATTCTCTAAAGATTTATATTCTCTAAAAAAAGTTGTATTTTCTTGCAAAAAATATGCTTCTTAAGTAAATTAATTTTAAGAATATATTTTTAATGGAAACTAAGACAAAAATACTTATTAAAAACATTTTTGCAGTGAGTTGACAGAATTTGTTTTTAATTGTATATATAATTGTGATTATGGGCTGAAGTGAATCAAGTGTTTGAAAAGGTCAGATCATTCACCCAAGTGGAAACCGTGAGCATGGCATTGTGGGAAATCCATGTTATATTTTGTTTCTACATTATAATTTATAACCTAAACATTAACCCCCAGTTTCACAGTCAAGGCTTAAACCTAGTCCCAGACTAAAATGTAAGTCTGAGCTGTTTCAACTAAAATAAACTTGCACTGACTGATCTTAAAATATACTAGTGCCTTTGTTTTGTCTCAAGATGCACACCAGTAATGTGTTTTCTAAGGCACATTTATAAAAAATACTTCAATGTCCTAATTGAACTATGGCCTAATCCTGGCTTAGTCTAAGCCCCGTCTGTGAAACCAGGCATAAATATTGTCAACTGAACCACATTGTTATCTTTTCAATAAAAGTGGCATCATATCAACTGGAAGAACCGTCTGCTGTTGAGTAACTTTGAACTTCACCTCTTTTTAGCATCAGCAGTTATGTAGATGATCTCAGGGTCATTGCTGGGCTTTGGTGTTTTTCGCTCTTGATGACACTGCAGAAAGCAAGCTGTTTGTGTTGGACACGTCCGTAGCGTGCCTTGCCAACCCCTGCCATGCTACGGGCACGCTGGTATGGTTCATATTTGGTGGCTGGATCAAGGAGACGCTAGGCATGATGATTTGAAAGGGAAGGCGATGGATATGATCTTGTGGCCCCCCAAGTGTTGAAAACCACATGCTGAGTGTCGGCCCTCTGTTGATTGCTTACTTGAAACAGGCCCGATGGAAAATAACATGAACAGACAGATGCACAAATAGAGGGATTCATGTCTGTAAAGGGAGATTTCAGAGGAGTGACCCGTCACAGTCCTGGGAAAGACATTCAACCCGCTCGGATAAGAGACATTCTCAGATATTGGTTAGATCGGATCTCTCTTAACAGTGATTGAGTTGGTTTCCATGCTGACGTAGATTGCTGAGAATTACGCACTCACAGTGCACCATGCTAATCTTGCCAGACACTGCCATGCCCAGTAAGTCAGACCCAACTTGGCTAAATCTCAGAAGGCATAAATAAAACAAGGATTGTGGAGCTGTTACCCAGCCCTAACATATTATATTATATTATATTATATTATATTATATTATATTATATTACATTATTGCTATAGGCTATTGTTTTAATTTACGTGAATATTACAAATGTTCAAATTAAAAAACAACTAAAATTGAAATGAAATTGAGAGCGAGAGTGAGAGAGAAGCAGAGAGAGTTGTCGAGATGACAGATGAGGGCGACATGTGAAAGTAGAAGGGTGAAAGAGGTACCATGCAACTATATTAACACCTGAAAGAAGACTCATCTGATGAATGCTGGTCATTTCACTTGTATATCAATCTTACTGTGTGATATTGAATTTGGAAACATTTTAAAATATGCAATGATTTACTTGTAGTGATGGGCATACACAATATACATTTCTAGTAAATATAAATGCTGAGTAAAGCACAGCTACAACGCCTTCCATATGTGTACACATATGTTTGCATTTGACCTCTTTAAAGTACTTAAAATAGTATGTAAGTCTAGAGGATTTTTGACAACATGCTTACCTTAAAATATATGCAGGCTCGAGGGAGTGTACAAGGTCTTGTATGGCCATCCCTCCTCTTATAATAATTTGTTGTCAATAGATTGAGTAGAGCAGCTGCTAAACTCTTTGTCACTGTAAAGACTATTATTATTTTCCTGTGTGATGTTAAACTGTGCACAAGAGCCTGGAGAGTAACAGTAGGACAATAATGTTCAAGGTGCCCTCTTCTCATGATGTCGCCCATTAATCTTTCCTGTGTACCTTTGATCTGGGCTGTCAGAGAATATGCAACTCACACAAACTGTCAGAATAACCCTCCATCAAGTCAGCATTGTGGTGACACGTTTAGTTTGTGTACTGTCACCAGCACTGTAAATACTGCAGGTCTTAAGCACGTAGACTGGGTTTAAAGTGTCTAGAAAGATGTCTGGTTGCATCACCAGGTGCATACCATGAGATGAGTTATTTCTTACATTTTAGACACACACACACACACACACACACACACAATATTTTCCTTTGTTTTCCAATTGTACATGTCAGTCTGTGTCAGTACCACAAGCACCATGCATTCATATCTACTATTGCTGCTGTGTTTTTTATTTTGCGATATACCAAGATGACAATGAGAAAAACTATTATATAAACTATTTATAAAAATATAAATATTAATATTTATACATACAACAAAATATTTATAAAAATAAAATTCAATAAAATGTTTATAAAATATAATAATAATATTTCTTTTTTATATATATAAAAAAAAAAAGATATTTATAAAAATCTAAAAAATGTAAATTGTAAAATGAAGTTGTTTTAATGTCCATTTTACCTTGTCATTTATATGACTTATTTTAAATAAATATAATAATACCATAACCAGAGACTTTGTTCTCTAGGGCTTTTCATCAGACAACTTAATTTTTCCCCCTTACATAGATTTACTATTTTCCTATGTATTATGTTTTATTTTGCATTTCCTTTTTTTATTATTTCCATGTACTATTTTATTTTTATTTTATTATTCTTACAATGTCAGTTTTCTCTGCCAATTGTATCGCCTTCCTTGTATATCTTTGCAAAAGTTACAAATACATAATAACTGTTTTAAAAGATGCTGAAGTTTTACTTATTTATTTGTCAGTGCCAGATTATTAAAAATATAAAGCAACATCCAATGATGCATTGGTAGCAAGTTACAGATCTTAGCAACAATGAATGCGTCCTGGCACACAGGTGAGGTTCTGCTGATAATGAACTGATAAAGGTGAGGCAATGAGAGCAGCCCTTACCTGCTTTCTTTACTTCAGGCATGATTCCGTTGGTGCTTGGGGTACTACTGGGCATTGCAGGGCTGGATGAGTGTCTTTCGACTCTGAGTCTCTCTGTCTCTGGGTTCCCTTCTTATTAACTCTGTGAAAAAGGGGGAGGAAAAGACATTGCCGAAGGGGAGGGGAGGGGGTCTGTAGGTGGTCGAGGTGCTGATCATGAGGTCCATCCTGTTACCTAAAGCACTCACATGTTACCATCAAACGAGTCAATAAAAGGATATACAGTAGGACCACACACATACACAGTTATGATTATAAATCTAGATATGCAATGCCATGATGAACTGATACTAGGTGCAGAGTGCAAAATAGAAGGGCAGTTTAGCTTATTCAACTGAAAAGTGTGTAGTACAAAACATTGAGAAAGAGTTTGTTTATACCAGAAGAAGACAGAATGGGTTCTTTGAGCAGGGGGTCTGACATTGCACTCACATTACTGTCACGTCTGAAGGACATCTTCACACGCAGCCCAAGGATAAACACAAGTTTTTGTTTACCTTGTGGGAAATGTTATCCACAGCAACTTTGCTAATAGTGAGGTATCAGAACATTTTGACTTTACAAATATATCAGAAGGGAGCCTATTATTTTAGACTAATCTTACCTCATAAAAAACACCTTGATTGAATGATTTACAGAATCTGCGAGTATAGTTGCAGCAAACCTCATGTCAAAGCTCATGATGCCTCCCAAAATGACAATAGCATCAATTTCTTAATCAAACAGACGGATCGGAAAAACAGCAAAGCTGTACTAATCTGAAGTGGATCCGCTGAACTGTATTACAAGACATTATCACTCAGTAATGAGAGACGTTTCTTCATCTCAAAGCTCTGAGTCTTAAATCACACGGTGATTCTTTAATGCTTGAAAGCAGACTGTCGATTAAGTCAGTATCTGGCCTGTCTTCATTCCTGATAAACGAGACGGGTGTATTCCTCATCCCTCAGACACTCATTCTTTTCACACTCTTCCTCTTAGCACCTCTGTTCTCTCTTTATCGTTGTAATGAGAAACAGCTTCCCTTCCACGGAGCGCTCTGTTTCATTAGCTCCTCACGCTTTGAAGACTTGTAAGTTAGGCAGTGGAATTTTAATAGGTGGCAACTGTACGCTATGTTTAGCTAAAATACAGAGTATTGTGTGGGTGTGTGAATGTATAGGACGTTTTAAGAGAGACATCCTAACCATGCCTCCCTCCGAAATAGCATCGGCAGAATGACAATGATTTGTAGGCTAACCTGCACATAGTTTGACACTGTTTGTGTGCTAGTCTGTTTTGCATAAATCAAACCAGACTATATAGGTCTACAGTATATCTGCATTGCTTATTTCAGTTGTTTGATGCTAGTTACCTGTGATTTATGCATAACAGACTAAAACATTACGTAAATGATGTGCAGTGATAATAGTAATCATGACAATAATAATAATACCACAAATGTTATAAATGTAATATAGATAGATAGATAGACAGATATTTTGTATTATATTATATATAATATTAAATATAATTTAAATAATAATACATACATACATATAGATATAGACTTTAAAATCACACTGGCATCCCTGGCAGGTTTACTCTGAGTAACAGGTAGTAATTGTGACACAACTGTCTCAACTCATAGTGAGAGGATGTGAGATTTATGACTGTCCACTGACAGAGGTCTCTCCAAAACAGAGGTTTCTGTTTCCTTTTCCTGCAATATGTATTGCGGTAGTCTCATATGTCATGCAATTCTTCTTGTGGACACAAATTAAGTGGATTGGGGTTGAGAATCAGATGTTAGGACAGGCTCAGCAAGTGACACACCATGTATCTCTTGAAAAACATTAACATTTCAGTCTTATTTTGGAGATGTTTGGTGTCCTAAACACAATACTAATTAAGTAAAACTAGCATGTCATATTGTGTCTGTTTCTCTTATGTGTGCTTTTTCAGTCTTTCTGTGTGGGTTTGGAAAAATACCCAGTAAAGCCAGCATGTCAAATTGTGTTTGTTTCTCTTATTTGGGCTTTTTGTGTTTTTCTGTGTGTGTTCGGAAAAATACAGCGGCAGGCGAAGAGCGACAGAGTGAGTGAGAAAGAAGTGCACTTACCATGGCACACACACCTCTGTTCTGTCTCAGTTTCAACCATGTGCTTCTTGGTATCCACACATTCATCAGAGCTGCGATGATACTTCTACACTGAATTGGATCTCTATGTAAAGAAAATCACGAGTTAGCCAACACCAAAAATGTACAGAGGGATAAACGTTTGAGATTTGTAAAGTCAGATGTACACTTTATTACTTCTAATTAGCTTAACACAGCTAAAGCGGTAGAAATGAATCAACATCTCCTGCTACATTTTAGCCCACCAGAGCTGTTTACAGAGGCCTGTAAGCACAAATGTGCCAGACCTTTACATACCAGCAGATCCTTTTACATCCAAATGACTTTGAAATTCATTCAAACTCTCTCCTCCTTGCTTTAGAGTTTATCTGTGACATTGACTTTGGCCTGAAATAGTGATTGATTGAGGTCATTGACTTGTAGATGTCCTGCTCCATGGGACTACAAAATCTTTCAGAGAACACGGGTGGGTGGTGTGGTTAAGGGTTTAGGGGAACACAAGAGTGTTGTCGGCGCTGAGCCTCGTAAGATCCAGATTTACCACACACTGCCAAAGCTGCACATGAACGGGCCCAAGACAAACAGACCCATGAGCTGAGAATGTCTGACAGCTGACAAAGATAGCCACAGGTCTGCGGGAGCCGGTCTAGAACATTCTCTCCCCAAGTTCGCTTCTGTTTACAGAACACACACTAATAGCTGTATGATTAGCAACATCTTATGAAGCAGGATGGGTAAAATCTCGAAAAGCCATGTCTGTCAAAGGTCAAGCTTTCACGATTAATCTCAACCAACTGTGGCCATAAGCTGCCTTTTTTCTGAATCTCAATAAAAAAACAGTGAATATTTTGTATAAAGCCTCTGACTATAATTATACTAATACTAAATAAATAATGGTTCAAAGTCAAACTAATTTTAACTGAAATAATTTTTTTTTATAGATTTGCTGGTAACCTACCTTCCATTTTAAGCTCTTATCCTACTCTGTTTTCTATTTGAATATATTGTAAAATGTAATTTATTCCTGTGATGGCAAAGCAGCCATTACTGCACTCTCCAGTGCCACATGATCCTTCAGAAATCATACTAATATGCTGATGATTTGCTGCTCCAAAAAACAGTTGAAAAAAGTTGTGCCGCTAATTTTTTTTTTTTGTGTGGAAATAGTAATGCATTGTTTCTAAGATTCTTTGATAAAAACAAAGTTCAAATAACCAGCATTTATGGAATAGAAATCTTTTGTAACAAAATAAACTGTCACTTTTGATCAGTGCAATGCATCCTTGCTGAATAGTACTAAGTATTGAAGTATTAATTTCTTTAAAAAAAATCTTACTGACCCCAAACTTTGTAATTATAGGCCTAATATAAATTGTAACCTCACTTTAAAATAAAATGTCAAGCTCAATACATCACTCAGGCAATCAGGATTTAAAAAGCAGTATCCACCTTATTTTCACTGTAAGAGCGGATGCAGTAATTTGTACATTTTATGGGTCTGGCTTCCTGTGTCATTGGCTTCCACTGGCTTTTTAGCTGTACAAAACAGCTCGTTTTGCTGCTTGATTTTGCAAAGCTAATGACTGAATGTTCAGTAGTTTATATTAGTTTAGTATTGAGCTTATACCATAACCATGATGAAGAGATATTTGGTTTACAGTAGATGACTAGTTATTTATGGCATCAAGGTGCAGAGTGGAGTGGTATTACCAGCATCAACATGATTCAAAACAAACTAGCTCAAATGGCATTGGGCCAAGAAACAAGTCCAAGAGCTACATATAAGAGAATGAAGAGATGAACTTTTAAAGCTCTCCATCATCCACTGATCACCGGTTTCAAAATGCCTGTATTATTTATGAATGGCATGACTTGTAGTAAACAACCATGTTGACATCTTCAACGGTCATCAAATTATTTTATTAAATCAGTAGTAAAAACACAATCCAACAATGCAGTTATAAGTTACGTTTTTCAATCATTATCTCTCCAGAACGATCCTTCGTTTGTAAATGTATGTGTCATTATGCATGTCATTGAACTCAAAATCTGCTTTAAATTATTATGTACAACACAGGAGTCTTTGTTGCCATGGGAATCATCGTCCTCCGCCATTGGCCGCCCCACCTCCGGCTCCGCCTCCAGACTGATCCTGAGCTCCAGACATCATCAGGAAAAGAACGAGAGGGACAATATACATCCACTGTTGATGAAAGAGAAAAGAAAAACACAACAGAAAGTTAACACATTTGTACACAGTTTAAAATGCAACACATGATGGTTCCTCTCCAGAGTCAATGATTAGTTGCAGGACAATTACAAGCCATTGAATTAATTGGTTTCCCCAAGCAAATAATTTTCAGTTTCATCCTTCCTTGCTCTCTCACTGTCCAACCTCCACCACTTACTGCTTCTCACAAATGACTTTCCACTGGCAGGGAGAAATCAGGAGAAATGAGACTGAAAAAACAGGAAAGAGTGAAGCAAGCAGCGTGGGTCATGAACATCTCTGAGCTTGAGACGACAATCCCCTGCTAAAATTACCGGCCAACCTGATTGTGAGGCACCTATTTAATCAAAACACCACTGATCTGGTCATGACCCAGCAGGAAACGTACACAGAAAAGCATAAGGAAACACACAAACAACTGAACACCAAGCTGAAACAGAGGAAGGATCAGAGGATTTGAGTTTGAATGTATGTGGGTGCGTGTGCTGGCCCATATACACACACAACATTGAGAAATGCAGCTGGAGTGACAGACCAACCAAGTAGGCTAAAATGAGATTTCAGTACTTGAAATGAATGGAAATCAGCTCTGCTCTCTGGCGCCCCCTGGTGGGGTCTGTGCTGAACTGGTGGCCATGAGGAACACTGCACCTCCCAGAATCAAATACCACTGGAACACAGCACAGACCAGCACAAAGTCAACACAGACACAGCACAGTGAATGCAGAAC